GATGATGATGATGATGATGATGATGATGATGATGATGATGATGATGAACACTGGTACATCTGGTACACGCTTGGCCTTTATCATTTGTTGGCTTCCAAGTTCTTTTGGCCCTGTGACTCTAAACGCGCCGAAGAAGAGTCCGTGGCGATGTGAAGTTCCTTCGATCGGGGGAGCATGGAGGGTCGAGAGATCATTCGAGACATGCTGCAGGTTCCTGTAGCTCGTGTGATCAAGATCAGGTTTGAGTGCCGTGAACATAAGAGCGAAGATTGCAAAGATCATGTCCTGCGACCACAAAAGACAAACATGTTCAAGCTCCCAAATTGCTTTGGTCCAAAGCGCATTGTTGTCGCACGACACAGGGCGGACCCCAAAGCAAAGTGGCTAGAGCGTCAGCGGTAGCGTCATGTTAGTCGTCATGTTCATGTATATGTTGTCCTTTGCAACCAAGGTGGATTTGGGATTTGTGCTTCACCTCTTTTTGCGTGAGTCATTGACTCTTGGGGACCAAGTATGCCGCATACTGTATCTCAATTTCGGTGGATGTCTATTGGGTGCTTCCTAGTCTATTGGATGTTGGCAGATCACCTCCGCAGATCCGCAGCGGAATACGCAGGCAGAACGTCCTGCTGAACATGACACCGCGGCGGAGGTGGAACCGGCGAGTTCGCCGCGCCGGTTGCGGTTGTTTTCGGCTCGTCCAGCGTGGAGGTGATTCGAAGTCAGTTCGATGTTGCACCTCCTTAGATGTTTGTTGGGGAAGATGTGATTGGACAACCACTTAGTCAGAGGCTGCTGACCAAGTCCGGGCAAGCAAATCCTGGGCCCTCAATCGGTCCTGACAGGTTTAAATCAGGGTCTTCGGAATCACCCAACCGGACTGTGCAACATTTGAGGCTCTCCCGTACCTTTGTGGGCTATGCTGCATGTGGGCTGGGTGAGTGTAGTAGTGTGAAAACAACATGCATCCCGAAGTGTTTGCACTAGATTGCTACTACTGGAATCCGGAAGGGCCAGTGACGTGGCACAACAGGCTTGAAAAGGCCTGTTGGAGAGGTTCTGGCACCGCAGCAGCGCGATGTTGGTTGGACTCCTCCCCGATGCTTTGGATCAAAGTGCTTGCGCAACAGGCTGCAACAGGAAGACTTGATGGCGATTTGCTAGCAGCACCACTGACCAGAGACATAGAACCTGCAGAGGTTGCAAAAACAGCTGTTCTGTTTCCAATCCAATGGTAGCTATGAACACTCCCACATTGGAGTTGGTAGCAGGTGTTGAAACGTCTTCGCGGGTTTGACAGCTTTGGACTAGATGAGTGGCCCAACTAATTTGCTGTTGTCGTGCCCCTTCTGGGGGCCTTGGAACATTCCTTCATTCCCTGCAAGACGACCTTCCTCACCTTCAATTTGCGGGAGAACATCCATACAGATCAGTTCAACATCAGTTTTCCATCATCACCCTACATGCATATATAATATATACAGTATACAATATAGCGAGAGAAAGGGATATGGACGCCAGCATAAAAAGAATGTTGTCCCAGAAGGAAGGCTAGAAGCCAATACTGGGGTGCTCCGTTCGTAGCACCGAAGGCAAGACATGTTCACAATGGCCAGTACTCGGACAAGACATACCACTGTTTAAGCCATAGTCCGCCGGATGGACGGATGCTGGGGCGAAAGCGGGAGGCCGGGAAGGGCCTAGCGCTGCTTTGATTGGAATCGATGTTCCTTGATCTTAGAATATCTAGCCATAAGCCAGCAACAGAGCTGGCAAGCTTGTGGACAGCACAGGAACATGATAAAGCAACATGTTTTGTTCTGGGCATGCTTTGGGCCTTGGCCTTTGCACTGGTGGACATGCTACACGCAAGTGTCGCATAAGGAATGCCAGCCACCACAATAGTTTTTTGCAACGTCCAGCAGGATCCATTGGGCAAGAGGAAGGTCCAGACAGTAGGCGGCTGGTGGCAGTACGGGGACGCAACAGAGATGCATATCGACCTGGGGCCACCGGTGTGGCCTTGAGCGGGGCTTGTTTGTTGACTTAATCAAGCTACATATCACCCCCTTCCAGAAAACACTCACCAGATTGTCAATTTGTTGAGGAACATCGTTTTCCAAGGGGGCATGCTGTCCAGCTTTGCAGTATCAACCTCCACGCTAAAGAAA